GTTAAGACTGGTACTACTACTACTACTGTGTACAAGTACTACTACTATTAGACCTGTAGGGGGCGCTGCTGGATGTTAAGACTGGTACTACTACTACTACTGTGTACAAGTACTGCTACTACTACTACTATTACACATGTAGGGGGTGCTGTTGGATGTTAAGACTGGTACTAATACTACTACTGTGTACAAGTACTACTACTACTACTGTGTACTACTACTACTACTACTATTACACCTGTAGGGGGCGCTGCTGGATAAGACTGGTACTACTACTGCTACTAATACTACTGTGTTCAAGTACTACTACTACTATTAGACCTGTAGGGGGCGCTGCTGGATGTTAAGACTGGTACTACTACTACTGTGTACAAGTACTACTACTACTACTGTGTACAAGTACTACTATTACACCTGTAGAGGGCACTGCTGGATGTTAAGACTGGTACTACTACTACTACTGTGTACAAGTACTATTACTACTATTACACCTGTAGGGGGCACTGCTGGATGTTAAGACTACTACTACTACTACTGTGTAGAAATACTACCATTACACCTCTTCGTATGTTTTGTGTGTAACTAAAGCTGTTAGATAAATGCAGTAGAAGTACTTCAAATGTGTACTTAATGACAGTAAATATACTGTGATCTCTCCTCAGTACGCAGTGTTTCTGTCTCTGGTCTTCATGACCGAACTCATCGCTGGAATCTCTGGATTCGTCTTTCGCCACGAGGTTAAAATACACATTTATATTAGTGCTGGGCAACACGTTATTATCGCATTAACGCATTAATTAATTAACGCCGACAATTATTTTATCGCGCGTTGACGCAATTTTTTTTTATTACTAAGCGGACGTTTTTAACACAAGAACCGGGTAGCGAGCGGTGAACAGCTGTTTGTGTGGCGTCTCTTCCGTCTCTTCCTATTTCCTTCAACTACATTCTCCTGGGTCCAAATACCACACATATTACGGTAATCAGCATTGCATATGTGTCTGACCTAAATACCACAACAAGCAAAAGAGAAATGATTCATTTGAATTATTGTTTTAGAGTTTTTAAAGTGTTTTGTTTGTAATATGTATAATAAGCATCATTTAGTTATCACTACTGAGAATTTAACAAACATAAAAACATGATGTAGACAGGTTTGCAGTTTTCAAGGTGTATATTTAAATATCATCTCTTACACACATGAAGATAAAGTTGTGAACACCGGCTGAATATCTATGATCAGAATCATTATAACTGTGTTATAACTGCTCCTGTGTAAAGAGAATACTGCTGCTAACAAGAACCTGATGTGTTTAAAGTGTTTACAAACCAAATGTTATTGACCTTTTGTTCATATAGCAGCACTTTAAAATAAAAGTGCACAATACACTACTTTTGAATTCATTATTGAATTTTGCGCATAACAATGAGATTAATCGCGATTAATCACAAAAAAATCATGCGATTAATCGCGATTAAAAATTTTAATTGTTGCCCAGCACTAATTTATATGTATAAATATATAATATATATATATTATATTCACTTAAACACAACACTATTCATCATCTATGTGATGATCAAAGAGAAGGTCAGATTAAAGAGACGTTCGGATTAAAGGGACGTTCAGATTAAAGACATTCAGATTAAAGGGACGTTCGGATTAAAGAGACGTTCGGATTAAAGGGACGTATCGGATTAAAGGGACGTTCGGATTAAAGGGATGTATCGGATTAAAGACAAATTCAGATTAAAGGGACGTTCGGATTAAAGGGATGTATCGGATGAAAGGGACGTTCGGATTAACATGTTCAGATTAAAGAGACGTTCTTGTGACACTAACACTGTGTGTAACTGTGATTTATTTCAGATTAAAGGGTTCCTGTGACACTAACACTGTGTGTAACTGATTTATTTCAGATTAAAGAGACGTTCCTGACGACGTACAGCGAGGCCGTGATGAGATACGATGGACGAGACGACAGGAGTCTGGCCGTGGACGGAGTTCAACGTAGAGTCAGTGATTCATTCATGTTGGGTTCTAGAACTTTGGGGTTCCTCAGGGTTCCACTTTGGGTCCTCTACACTTTTAGAAATATAAAATATACATAATATGTCGTCTCAATGTTCCATAAACCATCAGAACTGTTGTTAAGATCCGGTTCTACGCTGATGATACACTGATTTATGTCATTTAAATGTGTTAAAGCAGACATGATCGTTCTCTCTTCCCAGTGTCTCTGCTGTGATGGTTTCTGTGGTTCTCTGTGTTCCCAGTGTCTCTGCTGTGATGGTTTCTGTGGTTCTCTGTGTTCCCAGTTGCTGTGCTGTGGAGTCCATAACTACACCAGTTGGTTGAGCTCTCTTTATTTCCCCGTCGGAGGGATTCCCTCCAGCTGCTGCGTCACTTTCTCCGACTGCAGCGCCGCCGACCTGAAGGACGCAACAATGGCCGCTCGTAAAGTCCACAAACAGGTCAGGATATACAGTACATGACATGACAGTAAAAGCATTCACTGAATGAAGTACTGAATGAACTGTGTCTTCAGGGTTGTTATGAGTTGGTGACGTCGGTCATTGAGGGAAACTTAGGAATCATCGCTGGAGTGACGTTCGGAGTCGCCTTCTCTCAGGTACAACACCTACACAGTACTCGTACACAGGAGTACCATCACAGAGACATCACAGAGACAGACAGCCAATCAGGAGTGAGCTCACCGTGTGTCGATGACATCATGATTGTGTCTCTTGTCTCAGCTGATAGGAGTGTCTCTGGCCTGCTGCCTGTCTCGCTTCATCAACGCCAACCAGTACGAGATGGTGTGAGACAGGTACACACACACACACACACACACACACACACACACACACACACACACACACACACACACATATTAAAGCAACTGCTCTCTTTTCTTTGTCTTCCAGAAGAGAGACGAGGTTCCCGCATGAAGCTTCACCACCAAACACTAAAACTGATCAATAATCAATCACCTTCACCTCATGGTACTCAGTAGTACTCATAAGTACACATATTTGTACTTGTTTATGAGTTTGTGTTGATGCTGTGAAACATCGTGTGGTGAGAAAATAAAAGTCAAAAAGTCACTTTTTTTTCCTTTAATTAAAACTTTAAAAAGATCCACGAGACCAAACATCATAAAATGACACAAATACAAAGTGGAGAAAAACCTAATTTAATATAAAAACATCAAAGTCATTTCAGTCAATAATAGTGTAAATGTTTCATCTAATTAAAAGCTTGAACTCGTCTTGAATTGAAATGAGGAAAGACTTATATAATAAGTAAATAAACATGACAACACTGAGCCTAAAAACCAGAGACAGACAGCAGCAGTCTGGTGAGAGGTCTGTAAACAGGGCGTGGCTTTACGTCCTACCAGGTGACATCACGCGCTGGGATTGGCTGCATCTGGAGGTTTGGTCTCTCGTGGTAAGCCCCGCCCACCCCTGTTGGTCCATGAAGAGCTAAGACCCGATCCTCATACGAATCCTCTTAGTGGTCTTAAGTCTGGACTGAGACCTCCACCATGATGTGAGGACCTGAAGACCCAGTTCCACTTTGTAAACGTCACCATAAAACTTTATTTACACTGTCAACGTCACCATAAAACTTTATTTACACTTTGGCAACGTCACCATAAATCTTTATTTACACTTTGGCAACGTCACCATAAAACTTTATTTACACTGTCAACGTCATCCTAACCCTGTTTTGGGTGTTTTTATACTGCCTGTCTATACTGGTTTTGGGTGTAAGTAAGTAAGATCCAAGTAAAGTACAAGTACCTCAAATTTGTGAAAAAACCACTTCAGTCAGTGTAACTTCCATGAATAAGATGTACTGAATACATGTAGTATTGAAATACATGATGTTTTAAATACACGTAGTATTTAAAGCTCTCAGCTGTCTCAGATCAGGTGAACCAGAATAATCTCCTGCTGATCTCCAGTAAACGGATTAAGAGATCTGAGTCTGAACGAGAAGCAGAGAAGAAACGAGGAAAAGAAGAAGAAACGAGGACTACCACTAACGAGGAGAAAAGAAGAAGAAGCTTCATTTTGAATCTGAGGATCTGAGAATCAACACTTCTGATCTCAGAGAACCCGTCTGTCCGTCTTCGTCCTCTGATCCTCGAGTCCCTGCTGTCCTCTTCTTAGCTGCTAAGCGCTAACTGCTGCTAGCTTAGCTTCATAGTTAGCCTAATTTAACCTGTTGTTAGCTCATTTAACTTCTTTATTTTAGCTTGTGACTCAACCTGGAGATAAAATATCTCTAGTTTAGTTTTGGTTGAATCTATTTAGCTTAGCTTCGTAGCTTTAACTAGCTGCTAAGTTAGCTTAGCTTTGATTTTCTTGTTACACTGTAGTTAGGCTGGTTGTAATATTAGCTTGACTGTCATTTAATATTAGTTTCAACTGTAATTTATCTTGTTTATAATATCCCTGGCTAGCCTATAAATTAGCCTGGCTGTAGTTATATTTAGCTGTTAAGTTAGCTTAGCCGTAAATTAGCTTGTCTTAAGTGTAGTTGTAATTTAGCTAACTTGGACGAAATCTAGCTTGATTGTACTTTAGCGTAGTTGTAAATTAGCCTGGCTATAACTTAGCCTAAATACAACTTAGCCTAGCTGTAATTTAGCCTAGCTTTTTCTTAGCCTAAATAAAACTTAGGCTAGCTGTAACTTAGCCTAGCATAGCATTAGTGTTTTTGCTATTGAAGTATAATAAGCTGGCTGTTAGCGCCTCACAATGTCTTCAGAAGAAGAAGACAACGTGTTCTCAGACCAGAGTCCTCTGACAGTAGAGAAGGAAGAGGAGGAGGAGGAGGAGGAAGGTGACAAGGAGGAAGAGGAAGATGGACGCATCTTCAACGCCTGGATGCAGCGCTACAGAGGAGGGAGGAGTCAGAAGAAGACGGAGGAGGAAGAGGAGGAAGAGGAGAAGGAGGGAGGAGAGAAGGGAGGAAGAGCTGAGAGCCAATTGGATCCTCCAATCATAAGGAGGATGGACAGACGAGCGTCTCTACCGTGTCCTGTAAGACAACTACGTCTTTGTCGGCCATTTTGGAATTAAACTGATTTAATGTATATGTGAATAACCGTCTGTCTGTTCTCTCTGTCTCTCTCTGTCTCTGTCTCTGTCTCTCGCTGTCTGTCTGTCTCTCTCTCTGTCTCTCTGTCTCTGTCTCTGTCTCTCTCTGTCTCTGTCAATTCAAATTTGCTTTATTGGCATGAAAGTTTAAAAACAGTATTGCCAAAGCATCAAAAAATTAAACATTCAATAACATCAATACACAATAATATTAATACAACATCTCATAAAGTGGTGTGAGACAGAGCCCCCATTGCTCCCACGTTACCTGTAGGCCACCGCAGCTCTCTGACACCGAAGCAAAGGGGGGAGCGAAGTGAGAGAGAGATCCACGGATAGATAGATCTCTCTCTCTCTCCGTCTGTCTCCCAATTCAACCCAAACTCAGATCTGCTCCATTGGCATGAACGCCCAGAAACGGCATCGCCAAAGCGTCACCTATTGTCCCTCAGGTTGTGGCATGTTAGTACATACTGGGCAGCAAGGTCTCCTCTCTCCTTCTCCTAGGAGGACTTTTAATTTTGAAATATCATTCGATTTTTTAAAATCTGAAATCACAGAGTCAAATTTGTTTAGGTAGATGTTCCTACTTTTATGGAATGTTTTGCATTTTAGGAGGAAGTGCATCTCCGTCTCAACCTCACCGGTCCCACAGTGACCACATGTTCTGTTCTCTCTCGGTTGCCATGACTTTTTGTGTCTCTGTCTCGCTCTGTCTCTCTCTCTGTCTCCCTTTGTCTCTCTCTGTCTGTCTGTCTCTCTCTGTCTATCTCCAGGCCACCCTGTCCTCCATGCACCTGTCTCACCTCCACTCCTCCACCCGTCCTCCAGTAACAGCGAGGGTTCTCCTCCACCGCTCCTCCTCCCGTCGTCTCCTTCAGGAGGCCGCCGCCCCCGAGCGACGCTCCTCCCTCATACCCACAATTCCCGAGGCCACGCCCCCTGAGAGGCGGCGCCAGTTCAGGAGACGCAACGTCATGTCATTGGTGGGTAGAAATACTTTATGCTAAGCTAACGGCTAACAGATGAATCATACAAACACAAATTAGAGAACTAAGCAGGAAACCAACCTTTTAATGACTCTTTAAAAATACACAGTTTACAGGGTTCTAGTCTTTATGCTAAGCTAACGGTGTCTGTGTGTATGTGTGTGTGTGTGTATATGTATGTATGTGTGTGTGTCTGTTACAGAGTGATGCCTACAGTGTGTGTCTCATCTGTCATCATGAGTTGAGTCGAGGAGCCGGAGGAACGAGAGAACTGGAGTGTTCACACACCTTCCACAGAGAGGTGTTCATATAGATATACACACAGAAAATACTCAAGTAAAGTACTTAAAATGTGTACTCATCTCTCTCCCCCCCTCTCTCCCTCTACCTGTCTTTCTCTCTCTGTGTGTCTCTGTCTGTCTCTGTGTGTCTCTCTCTTTCTGTCTGTCTGTCTCTGTGTGTCTCTGTCTCTGTCTCTCCCCCCCTACCTGTCTGTCTCTCTCTCCCTGTCTGTCTCTTAGTGTATAGAGGAGAGGTTATGGAGGAAACACTCATGTCCTACGTGTCACGTTCAGGTCTCTGTACCGCACGTGCAGTATTTTAAACTATTTTAGTTGTTCATATTTTTCAATAAAGTTTGATTGTACGCGTTGGAGGAAAAAGTGTTTAAATTCTTAATACAACTTTATTTAAAATGTGAGTAAGTTTGAAATGAAAGTCTCATAAAATAATGTTTAAATAAATAAAAGAAGCAGAATAAAGTCTAGTTTTGAGTGGCTCTGTCTGAGGAGGAAACAGCGCCCCCTCTGCTCTGCCCGCTCGCGCTGCGGTTGGAGGCGGTACTGCAGGCGGAAGTGCTGCACCTGTTGAAGCGTTGACTCTTTTTAACGACACCTGAGGCTGAAAACACACCTGTGGAGCTTTTGGAGGAGTCACGAGCGGGAAGAAACGGAGGTGATGGATAAATTAAAGAAGGTACTGAGTGGACATGACGAAGGAAACAACGATGGGACCGGAATCATAGAGGTAAGGGTTAACATCCGGGTACTGCTGTTAGATTGTTAGCATGTTAGCGCATTAGCACGTTAGCCTGTTAGCACGTAAGCTTCTCTCGACTGGAAGAGTTAAACAGTTACGTCATCAGAACTTAAACTAGTATTACTAGTTTAACTAGTTTCTGGTTCTTTTAAAATGTTTTTATCTACATATTTACTCAGTGTTAACACCAATAATGTACAAATACTGTATGTACAAATACTTTAATACTTCCCTCTTATGTTCCAAGTAAAAGTACTGCATTCAAAACAGTCTAGTAAAAGTATATCTAAAAAGTATTATTAAAATATACTTAGTACCAAAAGTACTTAAATAATATGAGTAAAAGTACTACAATGATATCAGTAAATGCACTACAATATCAGTAAAAGTACTACTATAATATCAGTGAAAGTACTACATTCATGTGTTTATCAGTTTAAAGGTGGAGCTCATTTAAATTACTTTATTTAATCTTTAATAAAACATAATTTATTAAAAAAGTAAAAGTACATTATTTACTCTGACACTAAAGTAAGGTACAAGTACCTGTAAGTTGACAGTACTTTGTTTACTGACAGTCAATATTTCTTTTAGCCTGGAGGAAACAGACTGTTTATCTAAAGAAATGAGTTTATTGTGAAAGGGAAGCAGCTTTTATTTCGTAAACAATGATGATGATGTCACCTCCTCAGAGAGCCAATCAGGCTTCTACGTTGGCCTGGGGGACCCGTATGAAAGGCTTCATCGTCTGCTTCGTTCTCGGCATCGTGTGCTCCGTGCTGGTGAGTGCTGCTAGGCGACCATCGTCCCTCCCCCTGTGTGTATGTGTAACCATGGTACCCCCCCACAGGGGAGCTGCATGCTGTGGATTCCTCGCGTCGGCCTCGCTGTGTTCGCCGTCCTCTACAGCGTGGGAAACGTCAGCGCTCTGGCCAGGTAACCAACCGTCTGACTGCAGGACTACACACTACATTACCCATCATGCCTCATGCTCTTGTTGCGTCTGGTTTCAGCACCATGTTCCTGATTGGTCCGTGTCGACAGCTGAAGACCATGTGTGCTAAAGAGAGAGCGTTAGCTACCGTCATCATGATGGTGAGAGATATATATATATATATATATATATATATATATATATATATATATATACGTAGTAGTAATACTTTGAGTATAACAGCAGTAAAAGTACTCATTGTGATAATAAAAACAAACTTTCTGCAGGTTTGTCTGGCGTTGACACTTTGTGCTGCATTCTGGGTAAGAAACACACAGATTATATTTATTAATTAATGTATTATATTTATTTGTGTATTTCTGTCTCTTCAGTGGAAGAACAACGGTCTCGCCCTGCTCTTCTGTGTCCTCCAGTTTCTGGCCTTTGCCTGGTATAAAAACTTACATACATATGTTTATTAGTGCTGGGCAAGTTAACGCATTATTTTCGCGTTGATGCATTCATTAATTAACGCCGACAATTATTTTATCGCGCGTTAACGCATTTTTTAAATTTATTATTATTATTTTTTTTAATATATATATTTTTTTTATTGAAAGACAAGAGACAATACATAGACATAACAACAAGAGGATGACAAGAACAGTGGGATAAAAGCCAGCAAACGTATGATGTAGAGAAAAGGCGACTTCCGCTTCTGGTCGAGGGGGGGGGCAGAAATAAAGAGAGAAGCTGCACCAGCTGTTGCTTTCCCTGGAGACTACTGGACATCGCTGTGGTAAAGTCAGCAGACACTCAGATCTCCGTGGTCAACTCAGCAGACACTTACATGTTAGTGCACCTATATGCTGAAATTCACTAAACGCATTCAAACGGCACAGATCGGGAGCGAGCGAAGAACTTTGAAAGTTAGCGGAAAGATTAACAGACAACATCCGGTTTCTTCAGACGAACATCCGGTTTTCAGAATAAGATGCCAACAAAGTATGAATTATATTCACATAAAGTATAAAACATGGTACCTGCATCTCGTGAACCAAATGTTATTGCCCTTTTGTTCATATAGCAGTACTTTTAAAATAAAAGTG